AGCTGTATGAACGGATCAAAAAGGAAGCTTCGGAGGCTACCGAAGGCCCAGAACCCCAGACTAATGTTACTACCGCTGCAGACGGAATGAAACGGTTCGGAACCACCCGACTATACATACCGCCAAATCACCGCCAACACTGTATGTGGTCTTATCATGATCACAAGTCTGCAGGACACCCCGGACAAAAAGCAATGTGTGCAAAGATGAAGAAAGAGGTTTGGTGGGAAGGAATGGTTAAGGATATCAAGGCGTATGTTGCAGGATGCCCGGTGTGCCAGACTACAAAGGTGATCACTCACCCGCCGACACCCCCGGTTGTTCCCCATGATACCCCGAAAACCCCTTTCCCTTTTCAACAGATCTCCATGGATCTAATAACGGATCTCCCCATCTCCGGAGAACACAAGTTCAACTCTGTTCTCACGGTTGTCGATCAAGGACTTACGAAAGCCGCGTTGTTCGTTCCTTGTCACAAAACTATTGACTCCATTGGCCTCGCCTCGCTGTTCCATCAGTTCATTTATTCCCGATTTGGACTGCCGGAATCAGTAATATCAGATCGAGGTCCGCAGTTCGCATCATCGTTCACCAAGGAACTTTACAAGGCGATAGGGGTCAAAACAAAGTTGTCTACCGCATACCACCCACAGATGAACGGAGAAAGCAAACATGTCAACCAGGAGGTAGAGGGATATTTACGACTGTACTGCTCCGAGTTCCCAAACTCGTGGGCATTGAAACTACCCTCCGCCGAGTTCGCCCACAACTCCTGTGTCCACTCGGTACATCAGCAAACCCCCTTTTCGTTAATTCTTGGATACGACCCCTCCCCATATCCCGAAACGCGACTAACTCCAGTCCCCTCAGTCGAGGAGCGTCTGGAACAACTGGCCGCTAGTCGAGATGTCGCCGTTCTCGTGCACAAGAAAGCACAGGAAATAATGAGATCCCGCTCAAAAGGGATCTATGTTGCGCCGCAGGTCGGAGATCAAGTTCTCCTGGATATGACTCACCTGCGCATCAAAAACCAGTGCGATAAAATTGCGCCCCGACATCTTGGGCCATTCAAGGTGACTCAGGCTGTCTCCCTGGTTGCCTTCCGATTGGATCTCCCCCCTACCTGGAAGGTCCACCCAGTGTTTCACGCCTCGCGGATCTTCCCGTTTGTTGAAAACGAGGTATATGGAGCTGCACCCGCAGCGCCCTTACCAGAAATGGTTGATGATGAGGTCGAATGGGAGGTGGAGTCTGTGATAAATCACAAAACCGAAGGTCGCCATGGCAAGCGAAAGTACCTGGTGAAATGGAAGGGTTTTCCACATTCGTCAAATACGTGGGAACCCGAAGAACACTTAAAAGAGCACGCGAAAGAAGTGCTCGACCAGTACAAACTTGCCCGACACCTCAGAAATTAATGGACTCCCCTCGCTCTGTAAACACCGAGAACGATTATGTCGACCTCCCCGTTGCCACAGAATCCTTTTGTCACTCCGACGACGACGGGCTCATACCCCCCGTCACTGTCTATGCCCCGACCTCACCTCCAACGTCCCCCACCAGTTTTCATGTCTCCAGATATTCCTCGCCCCTGTCCCAGTCCCGTGCGGTATCGCCCGCTTTCGCCCGCCCTCTCCGACCGCGTCCACACCAGGGGATCACAGTCAAACACGTCCTGGCCCCGAAGGTCAGAGTCCCCCTCCATGAGGACAGTAGCCAAAAGGGAAAGGGTAAAGCGTGGATTGACGATGACCCTGATAGTGGAACAGCCACGTCCGGCCGTGCCGATGTTGCCGAATCTACCGACGTTCGCAGCGCCTTTACCACCTACTCGAACAGAGGTGACAGGGCAGCCCTCGATCTCCTCACCGCTGCCGCCTCTTCCAGGACTGATGAGCAAAGACTACCAGTCCCAGTGGCTGAATACCTGGACATTGTTAGGGCACTTGGTGTCTTCCACGACGGGGACGACATTAACGGGTGCACACCAGAACAAGTTAAGTATTTTGGGATGTTGTCTGAAGTCTACCGAGCATCAGACATGATCAACGGCTTGGTGTCCAAGATTCGTACCCAAAAGCTTACCGGAGTAGCACCTTTGTCAGAGGTAATCATGATCGAGATGCTGGAAAAAGCTTCTTCCGAAATAACCGAAGCCATCACTGGCAGAGCCTATCATCATTTACGGCAGCAACAGATCAATGAATTCCTTGCGCCACTGGCTTCGCGGGTTCTCGATTGAGTTGTTCTGAAAGAAGCGCAGCTCCCTGAGGTTAAATTAAAGAAGGACATAACGGATCAGGAGAAGGAGAAGGAGTGGCATGCGGTCGAATTAGGGATGCGTCGTGGGCTGGCATGCATAAAAACTACTTCAACGCCGTTCACACCTCTGACCCTCTCCCTGCGACTCCCTTCGTCCCTGTCCCTGCGGATCAACTTCGTTACTACCTGGGAGGACAGTCACCAGTACCCCCCGATCACCCCCTATACCAACATGCCTGCTACCAATGCCATTACTTGGGACATTGGTCGTGCCGCAGCGGACATGGTTCCTGTTATACTCCAGCCCTCGAGGAGCCGTCATCTCCATCGCCATCATCGCCCATCGCCAACCGAATGCGTTCCCGTGTTTACACTACTCGCAGACCCCTATCCACTCGCTCCGCCAATGTGACTTCCAGCCCGTCCTCAAGGGTCTGAGGACCTTAGAGGGGGGGTGATGTTATGCTTCCGTCAGGGGTCTTGCCTTTTTCAACTTCTCATGGTCACGTGCATCACATGCCTTGTCGCGTCCCTCGTAATCGTTGCCATCTTAGGGGCTCGAATGCTCCAGGGACACTTTGGATCTCTGGCTGTCCAGGTATTTCCAATACCTGTTGAGACTCACTCACTTTGATCCGGTATCCCTACACTGCCCCTTTGATGGACAACTTGTATGCTTCATGATCTGCCTGTTTCCCCTCTGACTCGTTTATATGATACAAATGTTGTGTTGTAGCTCCAGTGTCTGGCTCCTTGCTGTGCGTTGATCGCACAGCCGGTATAGCCTTCGTTTCCATCCTTACCCCCATCTCTGACACCAGATGACTCGTATTTATTTCAGTGATCAGTTTGTTGATTGCTGCAGATATGCATCGCGATGCGTCGGTCGCGACTGGAACGGTACTCGTACTTAGGGGTATATAAGCCTACGTACTTCACCGTGTATCCTCAGTTTTTCGATAGCTTGCAACTGAGCTAATTACTTTGCTTCGATCCTTGTCTTCTCTCTGTGCAATAACCCTAACAGTTTGCCAGTAGACAAGACCTTTGTCAGATCTTCGCAATAACTCAGCCATAGGGGTTACGATACGTTCGGCCCGTAGACTCCCACCTCGTGCACTTCGTGCCTATTCCATTTGAAGAAGTCACCGCACCCGGGCATAACAGTCTCCAAACAGCACGTTTGAATGGTTCAGATGGACCTGACTTCACAGTGATCAGTATATGTCAAGCTTGTTGATCTTGAGGAGTAAGGATGGTTCAGGTCCATTCATCATCAGACATGAAAGGCAAGCCTGAGGTAATGTTGACAGAATGGGGTCACTCCACCCATATTACCCAGTTGACTGGCTACTCAGTTGCCATTAGCTGATGGCGTGCGAGTGGGAAGAAAGCCCAGTACGTTTTGCGAGGTGCCGCAGGGGTGACATGACTTACCCCACAAACAAAGAACCCACTGCACCCCAGAGAAGATCGTTTTCTGACAACCCTGTCACTCAAACACTTCATAATGTACAAGATGCAATTTATCAGAGACACTCATGCCAAGATGGTCACTCCGGATGATTAGAAGGTTCTGCTTAGCTCGCAACCTTGTCATCATATCAACTCAACCACTCATAACCTCGGTGGACTCATGCCCTTGGTTCAGCACTGCAGCCTCTGTTCATCGCAATGGATCTCATATCAACACTAATTCAGCTTGTTACTGTCACTGTGTATGTTTTCATCATTACCGTGCTGGGGTTGGTCTTCTGACCTACTCAGTATGTGTTCAGCATGTCTGAACTGGCATTGCATTCATATCAAAACAATCTGAATAACATTTATATGTTGAATCGAGGAGGGGTCTTTGATTTGACTGCCATGGCGGCGATGCATCAGCATGTCTTTAGCACAGTGTTGACCAAGTCTGTCCTCCAGTATGGTGGCATGGCTTCAGATGTGATTTTCCCTGTGCAGGGTATCTTAGTGTGGTCTCCTCTGATGTAAAGACATAGGTGAGCATGCTATGTAATGGCGTCTCAGGTTCTGTGAGCCCCTGGGTGATGCTCAACTCTGCCAACAACACTGACCCCAATGCTCAGTACCATGACTTCCATGCTTTTACCAATGACTCTCGCCTGAACTGGTATTTCAAGAGCATGATGATCATGTGGTGGAATAATCACATTGGGTATGTCGGGTACATGCCTTTGGAGATTAAGGATATGGCCAATAGCAGATCATTGGTCGGGATCCTCAATGGGTTGATCTATGATTTAACCATGTATCTCAGCTATCCACCTGCTGTCATTATGCCTACCAGTATGCAAGTGGGTGGAGGCATCAACACACAATTCATGAGTTCCACCATCATTGATCTGTTCAAGATCAACTCTGGGCAGGATTTTATGAAGAAGTTCAAGGATGGTCTTGGACTTGATTCTGCAACACTCGAAAGCCAGAGGACATGTCTTCGCAATCTATTCTTGATCGGTGTGGTTGACAATCGAAATTTGCCTCAGTGTCTGTTCTCGCAATATATCTTGCTCATCCTTTCAGTTCTCATGGTCTCCATCATCGGGTTCAAATTCATTGTGTTGATCAATTTTGGGGCTGTTCGTGCACCTGAGGACCATGACAAGTTCGTGATTTGCCAAGTTCCATGTTACACTGAAGGTGAGGCGTCACTTTGGCATATGATCAATTCACTGGCTGTGCTCAAGTATGACAATAAGCACAAACTGATCCTCATCATGTGCAATGGGAACATTGTTGGATCTGGCAACGATCACCTGACACCACATATCATGCTTGATATTCTGGGTGCTGACCCGAACTTGGACCCTGAACCGCTCAGTTTTGTATCGATTGGTGAGGGCACCCAACAGCATAATATGGCCAAAGTGTACTTGGGTCTGTACAAGTGTGCTGGACATGTCGTGCCTTACCTTGTGGTCGTCAAGGTTGGGAAGCCAACAGAGAGGTCACATCCTGGAAATCATGGAAAGTGTGATTCACAGATGGTGGTCATGCATTTCTTGAACAAGGTATGTTGGTTCACGTTTACGCGAGTTTTTGGGCACCAACAGTGGGTTTTTAGGTGCATTACAATACGCTGATGAATCCCCTTGAGCTCGAGATGTATCACCAGATCAAGAACATCATTGGTGTCAACCAGACATTTTATGAGTATCTATTTGCCATTGATGCAGATATGACTGCAGAGCCATATGCACTTAACCACCTCATTTCTGCATAAGTCATGTTGTGCTGCTTGGTAGGGGATTTGAGGAAACTGACCAGCCATAGAATGATTCATGACAAGAAAGTCCTTGGCATGTGCAGTGAAACATCCCTTGCCAATGCCAAACAGTCAATTGTGATGATGATGCAGGTGCATATAGTCCCTGCGATGTCTTTGTTTGGTGCGAGGGCTGAGGGTGGTTCATTAGGTGTATGAGTACTTCATCTCCCATCACATGGTGAAGGCATTTGAGAGTCTGTTTGGCTCACTCACTTGCTTGCCTGGTTGTTTCACCTTGTTCCGTCTGTGCATGCCAGGTACGCACAATGTCTCCAACCAAATTACCCAAGATTATTCCCAGAACCGTGTTGATACCCTACACATGAAGAACTTACTGCTTCTCAGAGAAGATTGTTATTTGACAACCCTATTGCTCAAACACTTCCTGATGTACAAGATGCAATTTATCAGGGACACTCATGCCAAGACAGTCGCTCCAGACGATTGGAAGGTTCTGCTCTCACAACATCATCATTGGATCAACTCGACCATTCATAATCTTGGTGAACTCATGTTCCTGGATCAGCTTTGTGGTTTCTGTTGCTTCTCCATGTGTTTCATTGTCATGATGGATCTCATATCGATGCTGATTCAGCCCATCACTGTCACATATGTAGGTTGATTCATTGTCCTTGGAGTGTGATGATGCTTATAAGATTACAGATCATCTACTTGATCGTGTTGGTCATTTATGAGCACAGTACCATCCCCTTCATCTTCCTTGTCATGATTGCTGCCATGTATGGCTTGCAAGCCTTTGTGTTCGTTCTGCATCACAAGTGGGACATGGTTGGATGGATGGATTTCTATATCTTGGCCATCCCGATTTTCTCATTCATGCTTCCAATTGTTGGAAATATCCTATATGTTCCAACATCTAGATTGAACCAGACTTACATGTTGTTCATCACATGACTTTTCTTAGCAATCAGCTCCACAATGATGTCACTTATGACATCATACTATACATCATATTCCATGACCTTCTGCACTATTCTTTACTATACATAGTAGTAATTTCCTTTTACGCTACTGGTCCATGCATACCTACTCATGTATATAAACTTGGGGTTTCTCTCCTAGAGTCCCCATCAGATTACACATCCAATCTACTCACTGAGCCTCATCTAAAGACTTACTCAATACTCTTTCAAAAGCTACAGCTATTCTAACAAGGCAAGTGTTCTTGTCTAATTGCTCTTCATTTCTCCCATTCCTCTGCACAATAGGTTATGAGCCCCACCTTCTAGGTGAGTGAGCTATTTACGCATTTGCATCGAGTGATCACTGCCAACAGGCAAATCACGATGGATGTCATAGGCCTAGATGTGCTAGGAATGGTTGTAGTTGTTTTTGCTGTGTCACTCGTGGCAGGCCTTAATCAGGCCATTCTCATACTTCATTATGGTGATTATGATGCTGTTTACTTGTGGGAGCTTTTTGTACGCTCTACCGTTTTTTGGTTGTCCTTTCTAGGTCTCTCCGCCTGCTGGTGACGCTGACAACTCTTACTTCAAGAAGTAGTTGTTCAACGAGCTCTTTTACAGATGCTTGTTCGCTGTCCACTGACTCCACCTCCACATTATCTTCATTTTCATCTTCCCAACATCGACCATGATGCTGACCTAGATCCTGTACCTCCATACCACGAGTTCAAGGCAGCTGATGCTCTGCCTCCTCATCATGCTCCAACTCCTCTTCCCAAAGAGATCATTGCACTGAACGAATTACTTAATCCAGAGTTCATTCTCGCTGTCATTAATAATGACAATGCTGAGTTTGATCTCATCTAATTCATTTGTGGTTAAAAATTATCATTATGGGAACTAATCTATGGTCCTCAAAAGATGTCTCTGGTCATCGCAAAGAAAACTGAAATGCTCATTGCCGAGCAACGTGATGGGATGTATGATGTAAAGTGGTGGAAGTATGTGGTAAAAGAGATTATAGAGTATACTGAGATGCTCTATGTATGCGGTTGTTCAACTTGGAGAGAAGCAGTTCCTTCGTCAGTCACATTCTTCAAAAAGCCAAATCCAGCTACATATCTTGTTCCAATTGACACCATGGAAACAGCATGGCAACAAATACCCCACTTTCCCGGTTTTGAATCTCCATTTTTCTATCCTGGGCTTCACTTAGCGTTTCACGGATATCTGACCGACTTCTTCCCAAAGATAACTCATATGTCGACTCTGCATGCCATCGCTAACTTCAACGGTTGCGATCTTCCCTCTGTCTACTATGAAGATCCTTCCCTTGACACTGTTCTGGCCTTCTCGGTTACCCACAATACATTCGTTTATATCTACTACAATGTCCACCCACTCTATGACCCATGCTTCAATGGCATCATTCCTCCTCTCTGCCTTTGGAACCAACATCTTGAGTTCCATTTCTGAGGAGTTTGGGTTGATGGTTCCACAGACATCTGCTGCATACCGAGATGGTTCTGAGAAAGGTGACATGGAGGAGACTGCTTTGATAGCGGTCTCTTTAGGTTTATTCGACGGTTCTGGGATGAAGCAGATATGGGAGATTGCCTGCGATATACGTCTTCTAACTGGCATCTTTCATGGGGTGCAAACCCCACTAATGCTGAATTCGCTTACTGGCCCAGAAAATCAGAGATTATTGCTGATATCCAACGTATCATGGAGAAAGGTACTTTTGACTATCTCGCAGAACCCTGACCTCGTGGAATACGCACTACTGCTCTTAGCTGAGCTTGTGAAGCTCGAGCCATATGCCAGATGCTATCCTCTTCCAAGTTCAATGGACGTACCATACATATCAGGAGGGCGATACCACAAGGGAACTGACAGTTGTATCATTGACGAATCTTACAATGTTCTTGAAGTCCTTTGTAAAGATTTACATTTTAGATATTCTCCTGCTGTCAATGTACCTTACTCTTGCACTGATCCATATCTTGGATTTTGTTCAGATGGAATACCATTGCATGAATGCAACTGGAGCTTCATGAGCTACCATTATTTCCATCCACTAGACTTTGAATGTCTAGAGCACAACAACTCTCACATCTCTTCATGGAGATTTGCTGAGAGAGGTACACCAATAATAAAGCAGTGGAGAAATCCTCATCCTCATGTTCCCAAATGCAAGTATTGCTGCCCATCTCAATCTGCTAGAGCTTCTGCTCGCAGACAAAAGGGCAATAAACTGCATTTCTTAAATCCTCCATCCATTAAAACTCATCCAACTTGTTCGTTCCTATATGAACATTTGCTTATGGACTTTTAAAAAGATGTCTGAAGGTTTATCCAAGCAAATCCCAAAACTTAATGGATTGAACTATGCCTCTTGGTCGGTTCTTATGAAGGCTTATATGCAAACACTCGGTATTATGGGAATCGTTGGTGGCACTGTAGCCAGACCTGGAGCTGGCACTGGACAAGCAGAAATCGATGCATGGGACACTTCCGATGCCCATGCACAAGGAATATTGACACTCTATTGTGATCCTATGATCGCAATGTCAATCGATGGACTTGCAACCTCCAATGAAAAATGGCTTGCACTTAATACAAGCTATGGCACTCCATCTGCAATGACTACATTCATGGAGTTTCAACACCTCATTTGCATCCAAATCAAACCAAAGGATGATATTATGGTCAAAATCTTGGAGATTACTATGCTCCTTACGGCCATTGCTGCTCAGGGTATAACCCTGAATGATAAAATGAAAGCACTCATCCTTGTGCAAGCGATGTCTCAAGCCTGGGAGCAAGCTCCTGTCAATATTCTTTTGTCTATCCCTGCCAACCAACTTTCACCTGATACTGTCATACCTCGTATGAAAGAAGTCTGGGCCCACAAATTGGGCAAATCTATGTTACCACAAATGGAAAGAACTGGGTCTTCTTCTCAGACCCATGTTAAACAAGAGTCAAACTCTCTTCTGGCATGAATGAATAAGCCACCTCTTTGCCAAATCTGCAGAGGCGGTCATAATACTAGTGACCATCAATCTGGATCAGGTTCTGGATCCTTTCACAGTTACTGTGGAGGTTGTGGAAGAAGTCATGGAGGATGTGGAGGTTATACTCCCTATTCACAACCACAACAGCAGCAAGGCTCTGGTTCTTGTGGCTGAGGCCAAAACCATTGCCAAGGCAAGGGCAAACCCTGAGCCAATAATCTCGAAGTTGAAGGCATGGAAACTATGAATACCGCCTTCCTTGAAGAACTTCCTGAGGATCCTTATCCAGATCAGGAACAATTTGAGATTGCTGCTGAAGAATTTGATATTACTGCTATTAATATCCCTCGCGAACCTTCTCCCGAATATTCTCTCCCGGATCAAACTCCGGTTGAATGAGTCTATTCTAACGACCTTAACACCTATCTCAGATCTCATGTTATCTCTGAGACTGAGTCATATGATCCAGATCTGTCTCGCCATGATCTAGATATGGCTATGGCAACTGTGGGAACTACTCCCAACTACCCAGTTGATGCCACTACTGGAAATCTTGCTCCTTGGTATCTGGAGGAAATTTCCAATTTCCAACCAGATCAAGTTGAGTCAGTCAAGATTCGTGTTCGAATTCCTAATTCTAATTCCACCTGTACATGTTCTATTTGTCACCGAGCAGCCCTGGCATACACTGAGGGACAAAAGCATTGCAATGTTTGTGAGGTGTGACTTGCTGCTGATGTAGCTTTGGCTATTCTGCATGGATGATCATGATACCTATACCATTGGAAAGGGGTGGCTCTAAGCTTTCCAGAGCATGCTGAAATACACCCTATTCTTTCCAAAAAGTGCATTGCAATGCTTTTGACCCTGACTGGTGAAATAGTGAAAAGTGACCTTTTGATGGGATTAAGGACATGAAGGATGGGAGAATATGATTACATAATAAACCACATGGTCTTCCAGATGATTTGTCAGCATGTAAACAATGACAAACATTGGACTTGTGCCATTAACCCCTCCCTCTTCTAGCACAACTCATGAAATCATCTCTCTGGCTCACATGGTCATTTTCTCAAGGAATTCTTATCAAATACTGGTGGCCACCACAGTGCCATCAGTATAACATGCTCTCAGAACCATCAGTCCCTTAAAAAACCTGCTGTCAGTCATTCCCTGGACTGTTTCCCCCCTCATGCCTGATGTGTTCTGGGACTAATCAGTACTTGGAAGGCTGAAAATGTTATGGAGTTCAATCTGGCACTTTGGCACATGGTAAACAAACCAATCCCCTCTCAACCAATGCATTTCTGGCACAGGGACAGTGGTATGGAAGTTAGGGCAGGACAAAATCCTCTTTACCCCTGGGTGTCATCAGAAGGATATGCTACTGAACTGCCATGGAGCAGAATCCTGTGCTTCCATCTGGCCCTGAATATTTCCTTTGCTCACATGTGACTGAATAACCCTTCCCCAGTCATCCAAAGTTTAGATCTGAGCAAGATCTAGTGAACCCTCTTAGGGTGCTTGGAGCACAAGGAGGTTTCCCCCCCCAACCTCCATACCAGTGTCACTGTGCCAGAAATGCACTGGTTGAGAGGGGATTGGTTTGTTCACCATGTGCTGAAGTGCCAGATTGAACTCCATAACATTTGATGATTTCATGAAGCTGACAAATC